CGGGATAGACTGTGGACACTAGTATTTTATCTTTGCGTTTGTGTTTTCTATGTGTTTGAGTTTGGGTTTGCGTTTGTGTTTGTGTTTGGCTTTGGGTTTGGGTTTGTTTTTCTACTTTCGCTTTTTCTAAAGCCTATAACATGAATGCTAGTTACGATAGATAAATGAAATTTCACTTGTAAGTAAACGATCTAATTTTCTGCCTGCTGTCAAATTTTGAGTAATTTCCGTTGACCGGAAGTAGCAATTTATGCTATTTCCGATTTCTCATTAAACGATAAAACGCATGAGAATTTATAAAGTACTAATAATATTCCGTACTATTTTTTTTTTGGCGTGCACTTGGTTTGCAATTCTTTTTTCTACGAGATTTTATTTTATTTTAAATGTTTAATTGTTTAAAATTGATTAAAAATAATTTCAATATCCCAAGTTGCCTTCCCCTCTTGTTTTATATTAGAATATTCGAGAAAGTTTAAGGGAGATCGCTCCCGGTTTATTTATTTTTAGACTTAACTCTTTGAGTCATAACTATATGCTAAATATTATAGAATTAGGTTTAGAATAAGCATTTTGGTTATTTTAGTTTTCAACACCCGCCCAGGCATTTAAATCACTACTCTTTTCGTTAGTACCTAAACATTGTGGGTTAAATTTCTTTTAGTCGCATGTGCTTCGTTCATTAATAATTAATATAATTATGTGAAATTCTGGTTACAAGAACAAACCACGCCGACAAAAAAATCACGCTTTAAAATGAAGATTTGATATGTTAATGCTGGTTGCACGTCATTTTTATTATTTTAATTTTATATATAATCAGGAATTAGTTTTCTAATCCATTTTAGCTAAAGGCTTGTTTTTTAAATAAGGTATCGATATTAGGATGTAAGAAGCTAAATTCCAAAAACTAATAACTGACAGCTAAGTCGCTGTTTGTTTGTTTTTTTATTTGTGAACCGTATTTTTTTAAAGGTAACTTGTCAGTCCACGTGTATATCTACTTCAAACCCAGACAAGTTATAATTATACCTGTCGTTTCGATTGCGATATAGAATGATATTCCCCAACCTTAACCCCACCCATTATTAAAACCGTTGTAATAGAATAATAAACAAATAGAATTTAGAAAATATCGGAATCAATTTTTGTATGGAAATCTTATTTCAAATTGAAAGTGAATTCGGATTCCCAGGTTTGTTTCGAATTCATTGAAATTTGTATTTTAATTTGTAAATTTAAACTATTTGATACAGGTGATTATATTTAGCTTTCAATAAATACATGACCGGCAGAACTTTACAATATGTATAGTTGAAGCAAATAAGTGACACGGTGCTTTGTCAAATCATTTCTTAGAGGCATCATAAATATACAGAGTAAAGGGTCATCCATTCAAGACATAAACAGAGGGGTTGGGTGTTAAAATGTCATATTTTTGTTGGCGTCTTAAATGTATGACCCTATAGTTTGTCTTTTAGGAAATTAGTTTTAACATATTCATTTTCTTTTTTTTTTAAGATTTTTTTTTAAAATAGCGTTATATATACATTACATAGCATGTAAACCAAATTTTAAAAAAATGGCTAAATTGAGACATAAATTTATTGACATTTAAAACCATTAAAAATTAAAAAAAAAAGACATCAGTTTTGTAATACTATTGCTACATTTTTTGCAACATCGTAAAACAGTGTTTAAAAAGCAAGAATTTTGAGCACATATAACATAATATCTGATTAAACATAAAAGCTACCTTATGAAAACATCTTATTTTTACAAGCTTTTATTTAACTCACTTCCTCTGTCGTCAGTCTGTCTAGACGGAAACGCAGGAGTGAAAATTCGGAAACTTCTACTTGACCGATACGATTCACACTTTTCTACTTTTTAGTGCATTGTTACATAAAAGCTTGTTATTAAAACGTTTTTTATGAATTTTTTCTTGTATAAAACAATTATTATTCTATATATTTGAACAAAATGTACAAGGTCGTCCTTTGATTTATGCTAGCTCAAACAAACTATCCCAGACAAAAATCAAGTGTGCATTTGTGCCCAGTAGACTGAGCATATCAGAAAATTCTGCTACATCGCCAGTACTAATATACAGTTTTTTTTAAAGGTTTCTTCGGGTGAGGGGGGGGGGGGCGGAGAGAAATAGAACGAAACAGAATGTTTATGGGAAAAAAAATATATTTACTAGTGTTCCTCCCCCCCCCCACTTCCCACGGAAAATTGAGTCCCCCCTCCCGACCGAAAATTTCAAGAGCTCCCCCCCCCTACCCCCGCCCGGAGAGAGAAGTGTGGAAGCAACACTGATAATCAATACTGTAAAAAATATTTTTTTAAAGTGACGTAAATGTAACTTAGCTCGAATTCAATTTGAATGAATAAATGAAAGCATATTTAGCCGGTTTTTTTTCTTCTTTTTTAAAAATAAAATGTGAGAATGAGAAAATTTGCCTTCATCATTTAATTTTGTTCACATCTTCTGAAAAGTGATATACACTTTATAACAAAGTGACATCACCCTAGCTAGATTTAGGTGATACCAAATAACCAATAGTTTTATTTCATATCCGTAGTGTCATTGAAGCATAGTTTCTTTCAGGGTCAGAAGAATAAAGTCTCAAGGAAACACTGGATGTGGGGTGACGAATTGGTTATACCCCAATTCAGTGACGCCCCTGCTTTTTACGATTTCTTCATATTCTGACTACCATCACGAATCGTCACCAAAAGTAAAATCCCACACCTCCTCAAACATAAGTTTGTTTTGAACTACTTGTGGAAACCCGAGTTGGCGTACCCGTTGTTTCCTGCCGATATCCGAACCTACGGCGTGGGAAACGGTAAGGAAACTCAATTCCTGTAACTACAGGGGCTGGCGTTTCATGTTGTCTAAAAACTCTATGCAAGGGAGATAACCTTTTGCGCTAAGAATTTCTATTAATTTTGATTTATTGTTCATGAGGAGATGAATATCAGATTTGGTAACAAACCACATTTGTTGGAATATGCGGGCTATGTTTGAATAGCCATGCATTAGAGCAAGTTGGATGGGTGAAACATGAACTAGGTAGGATGTTGAGTTCACATTGTTGTGTTGTATTTCAATATCTTCTGGGCCTACACCATATAAGATTAACTGCTTTATGTAATTAACCCTTTTGTAAAGAATGCACTTATGAATAAGGTTAGGAACTAAACATAGGTTTTTGGATCCATATTGGATTAAACAGTCAATGCATTATAAATCTTTACCCTCGTCTAGTTTAGGGGAACTGAAGAGAATGGACAGTGCTGTTTCGTTATGCGTCAAATTAGCGACGTTAACGTCGGCTCCTGATAGACACAGCGTATGAACCAAGTCAAAGTCTTGCAGCTCAGCTGCCAGCATTAGGACCGTTCTCCCGTCGTTGTTCTGGCGGTCAACGTCTGATCCTGCTTTCACGAGTAGCTTCAGGACGTCAACATTTTTCTTTACAGATTTACAGGAGATTAGTAAAGGTGTGTTTCCCTCGTGGTCCGCGATATTTACATCAGCACCCTTGACCGGAAATAGTATTTTAGGCTATTTCTGATATTCAAAAAACGCATGTGAATTTATAAAGTAATAATAATATTCCGCACTTTTATAAAGATTGTAATTGGCGTTCACGTGCTGAGCAGTTCTTTTTTTTCTACGAGATTCTATTCTATTTTAAAAAGTTTTATTAATTAAAAGATGATCAAAAATATTGTCTATATCCCGAATTGCCATCCCCCGTAGTGTTATATAAGAATATTCGAGAAAGTTCAGGGGAGATCACTACCGGTTTATTATACATAATCTCATTCTAATGTTACATTTTACATACCTTTCTACTTGTAACTTGAAATAATTTTGATTATCAGATTTGATTCGACTAGTGAGATATTTTTTATATTCCTCTCCGTGCACTGGATTTTAAAGCAACTGCTTCCTTTATTAGTTTTATAGTGTTCAAATATTACTGATAGTTTTTATTTATGTGTAAGGTTCCATAAACAACGTGTATATCAAACGTAGGCCTATATTGGGAAATGTAATGTAATGTCAGGTGTATTTCTTGAGATGTTTTTTTTTTATCTGCCAAATGGGTTCGACTTAGGCAACATGCGGATTAGCATGTATACGTTCAACGACAAACTGTACGTAAGTTTTACAGAAAAACTTTTCTGCTTGACGCTTAAGGCGAGATTTGATAACAATGCAATGATATATGAGCTTAGGCAAAGCAATATTAATAGCTATTTAAAACAGAATGAAATTATATAATAATAGTAATATAGTTTTTCGGCTTAAAGCAATTGCCTTCAAATTTTAGTAAGGATATTTATTCGCCAATAAATATTTATACTATTTAAGCTTTACAGTAGTGTTTGTTGTTTCTAAAAATAAAATATGTTATATATAAATAAAAAAACAATAAAAGCACAATATTATTCGAGTGATACCTTTTTTAATGGATGCATACAATTAGTTACATAAATAATTAAAAGCATAAATCCATTAGAAAGCATCAGGGTAATGCTGAATACGACAAAATTGAAAGCATTACATGCTTAAGTAAATCATCTGTGTGGAGATAAAAAAAATGAAGTTCTTATTATTTTATGTCACCAAGTTGTTGCTTGAAATGCTAGTAAGAATATTAAATACGATGCACACTATTCATGTTTTCAGAATGTGTTTTTTTAAACATGTTTCATAAGAGTTAAGCCTTTTTTAAATTAAACAACAATTGATTTTATTGTATAATGATTATTTTCTACCTATTTTTACATTATATATAATTTTTAAAAAATTAAATTGAATTATGTTAAACCAACTTTTAAATCATAGAATAGTTGTTATCTCAAAAACAACAATGTAACAAGAATGTAGTTGGTTTTAAAACTTTAAATTACCAGCTAACCGAAAGTATAACTACCAGAATTGTAGCCATTTTAAATTACCATCAAAATATCCCTACCTAAACGTTAACATTTGCCCGTCTCCTTATGACAAACGTTGCCACATTTTTTGTCGCATTTGTTTTCACAGTCCAATCCCCACGATCCATCGATACAGTCTTTAAAAAAAATTGCAGGTATTATGCAAATAGTTATGCTATAGAATTGTCAACACACAATTCGGCGGGTTCGATTAAACCTGTATCACACTATCGTTAATCTTTATTATATTTCTGTTCTAACGTTAATGCTTTTTAAAGATAAAAACCAAATAATGTGTAAACTTGTGTACAATATTTAAGCAAAAAAAAATAAAATGACAATTTTTAACAAACCAATATAATACTTACCTCCAAATATTTGAATTTCGCATATGTTATCGACGAAATCAGAAAACGAACTTGATTTAGTATTTGGGTTAGTTATTTTGACTTTTGATACCCTGTTTAGCTTTTCAATATTCAAATTGAATTCCAATTGCATGGTGCTTTCATTTGTGTAGTGAAGTAGGCGTGTTGATTGCTCATCAAATGCATCTATCACAACTCCCGAGGACTTCACATCTTCGCCTAAGTTTTTTATGAAAGACTGATTCAGTTTTTTGTGTGAACTATATAGATAAATCTCAATAGAATATATAGGTACAAAACAACAACAAAAACATTGAACAAAGGTGATTCTTTGATCTGAAAATGAGACGATTTCTCAAAGTTACATAAGCAGGATATAGAGAAAAATTCAAGGAAAACCCAAAATTGCTAAGATCTACAATCCAAAAGTGTGGATGTATTGCAAACGCCTTGTGCAAACCATCAGCAGCATAGCCAAATAGGTGAAGATTTGATCACAAAGAAAAGAGAAAAAAAAAATTAGACCGAATAAAACTAGTTCAGTTGCCTTTGAAACACAACCAATTGCATGTAAAGGTCCCAACTTGGGCGAGTCGCTCTAATCACATTAGGTTGGAGAGTCGCGTTTGCATTCGGGTGCATCACGATGGATGTACAGGAATGTTATATTTACACATACATGTTTTAGTCAAATATACCAAACGGTATCCCTTCATATTCCAAATACGGAAACACGTCAACTCTATTTTATCTGTGCAATGAATCGCAAGATTCGAAAGGGTAACTTACAAACGTATACAATTATCTACCAGGGTAGTTTCGATGTTTAGTTCTGGTTTCTATGTATGCATATCTATATATATAATTCTCTTCTGGGAGCCGTTAGAAAACAAGCTGCAAGCGCGCGCCTTGCAGTCCCCTCTCTTCCTCTCCATCGCTACCACCCCCTCACCCCCTCCCTCACATGGTCAGGTGAGTTGTAGTTCACGCTAAATTTTTAGTTTGGTGACTGCTATTAGGGGCAGATAATTCAGTTTGAAACTATTTTAAACTTAGAGGAGGTAACTAAGAGGAGACTGCTTTCACGGGGGGGGGGGGGGGAATGGGGGTTTAGTGTTTTAAAGCAAATATTTTCAGTGGCAGCATTGGTACTGTCGAATTCACAAATTATGAATTACTGATAAGTAGAAAAAACAACTAAATAGCGGCGTATGATACACCGCGGGTAGGCTCGTGTTTTTTATTATAGTTGTTTTTGTTTTTTATATATTTAATCATTTGTTTTAATAATCGTTTTTAAGTATGTATCAGTTTTTATATTTATTTTGTTCTACGTTTATTCCAATTAGAGACACCTCTAATATTTTCACCTGTTCTTATTTCCTTTTTATTCGATAATATTTACTATGGAAGAGTCACACCAAGTCTTGGTGACCTTACGAGTAGCCCTGTTATGACCCTGCGAAATCTAAGCGTTCGTATTGTTCTGATTAAGAGGCTATCTTGAGTCTCAATTAACCCGGTTTTACCGCCACTATCAACTTTTCTAAGGATGCAGTTTTATGTGCACGACCTAATCAATTTCTTTATCATCTCATTATTTTGAAAATCTTTTCAAGTTCTAATCTAAGTGTCCGGAGTTCTCAAGAAAAGATATACGTATGTGCTCTTCATTAAGGCGTACAAGTTCGCATGAATATTTTATGCTAATTTGTGTAATTTTACTACTTACCTTTACAATCATAAACATACTTATAATAAAACAAAGGTGTCGTTTTTATTTTATTTTAAGTCAGTTCTGAACGACTTTAAAAGATAATTAATTTTATTTTAAGTGATGTAATTATGAAACATGTAGCTAATATAAAAATGATTACTGACCGTAAACACGATTGTGCAGTCTAAAGCGAGAGATTGATACAGTTTTGTGAAAGCTAATTTCAATGAATGGAGTATCTTTAGTGATACTGGTTTGAAGATGTTCACAATTCCACCAGTTCCCATCTACAGTATTGTCAGCATTTGTAGAATCAGGTGTCAGAACTGCTTTTTGTTTCAATGCAAGATTACGTCCTGAATAAAAGTAAAATATGGAACAATAATTGAATTAAAAAACCTTTTAAAACTAGTTTTTTTAAAGTAATAATGCTCTAAAAAGTAGAAAGTACATGATTTTCTTGAAATATATAATACAATACTACTATTTAAATAAGTATAAAGCAAATCGTGGGTCATTATATTATCAATTAAATACGTTTTCTAATATTTAGAAAGAGATCTTAGATTATCTTAATAGTTATTTAAATAGTAGTGAATTGTTATAGATCTATATTTCAAGAAAATCGTTTATTTTCTGCATTTTAGTGCATTATTATACAACAGCTTGTTTTAAAATGGTTTGTATGCATTTTTTTAAAAATTTACAACAGAGTTTCAAAACTAAAAACGATTGCGCAGCAAATAATATAAAAATGCGCTTACAATAGTGCAGAAAGAGTAGTACAACTCCGCCTGTAATAAACGCTTGTAAGCATGAAGGGTTTAGATAAATTGTAAACAAAAAGTGCAATATTCTAGAATGGAGTATATTTTATACAGAAAAATTGCATTTGTTATTAGAAAAAAAAAGAAGATAGATTACCTCCACTGAAATACACAGAACACAGAGATGAAACGCCGGGACCCTTAAGAACTAAAGCCTTCGCCAATTGGTTGTGATCACAGTAAATGTCCTGAATATTATCTTCTGTATATGTTTTAGCATTAGGGCAGGTGAAAGGGGAGGTCATCGTCTGGTACTCGATTTGAACATCTTGTGTTTTTCCTGGTATTTGAGAAATGTTAGAGGAAAAATAATTTCATGTTTTTTCATGGTTTTAGAGAAATGTTAGAGGAAAAATAATTTCATTCTCTTTCACAGTTCAGATCATAGCATACTTTGCATTTTCTCTATCGATAATTATAGTTTCACTATTCTGTTACTCTATCTACCTATCTGTTGGCAATACTAAGAGACACCCAAGCAAAGTAAAAATATTCAGAGTCAAACGGAAAACGAAACGTGACGTCACATGGAACATAAAGTAGGAAACAGTCTAAAGCCGGAAAAGTAGGCCTACACACAATAATATGACGCCATTGAACAAACTATTTAAAAGCCCTTGACCCATCGAAAATTCATAATAAAGCCACTACCATTACCACCGAATATAATTGTCTAATTTTAAAAGGGGTCTGCGTGCAGAGGATTTCCCGCCGAAGAACATCTATTTTTTCGTTTTCGGTTAAATTTGAAGTAGAGATGGTGATTTTGGTTTTGGTATCAGTTATGAGAAAAAGACAACACTATCAACCTACACCCGTTGTATTTCTCCCTCAACGGGCCATTTATCTCGTTTTTAATAGTTTAATAATATTAATCATACAACGTGATTTAGTAATATAAATTATACAACGTAATAAAATAGTATATCTTTATTATTTATTGTTTAGTAATTTAAAAAATTACAATGTGATAAACAATGTCACTTCTATTTTCGCCAATTTAGTAATATAAGACATCAAACGTGATAACAACGTACACCTCTATTGTTAATTTAATAATATAAATAATAAATATGATATAAAAATAAATTCTCTTGTTTTACCAATTAAGAAACGTAAAACAAACAACTTGATATAAAATGAATACCTTTGAGAAGAATCGTACCGTATATGTAAACTAGCCTTATGTAGGAGACGGTAAAAACGCCCCCAAGATCTAGTGTTAAGCTGCTTGCTCCATTGTCGAGGCAGGTGAAGTCTTCCCCGTCTGTTACTGTGTTGCTGCTGTCGTGATCGATTAGCAGATCCACTGCATTTAACGATGTTTTCAATGAGCTTATTTACCGGTTTTTAATCAACACATTATATTAATCGTAAAGGATTAAAACGCATGTGACAAGCAGAAGCAAGCGATACAGTGCATGTTTTCTTCTTCTTCGTTCTTAATTATTAGTGTTGAAGGGGATCGAGATTTATCCGCCAGTGGGTTTGAACTCGAGACTTTGTTCGAATTTATCAACCATGAGCTTTTTGCCGACTCGACCACGCCTCCAACACAATTAAGCGTTACGTGTCAACTGGTTATGCGCCATTGAGGCCATTGACTCCGATTTCAGCCTGCTTTTCTGTTTGGATTTGCTTCCATAGCCTTTGTCCAACCAAGAACAAACTACAGGGCAGCAGTTGTTTAATTTTGGAGTTGTCTCTCCTAGAAGAGTGGCTGTCCCCAGCTAACGAGCCTCATCTGCCCGAGGGTTCGAACTCGAGACTTTTCGGTTTAGCAACCATGAGCTTTACCGACTCGACAACGCCGAACCCCTACAGTGCATGTATTATCTGAGAGTTTCCTGTAATCACAATATAGTCCAAAAAGCTGTGTTCAACCACAAGGCCTGCATTTTCTGCTGTATAGCCCACAGCTTCCTGTTTGTTCTGTTCATTTTGTCTATTTACTAAGGACAGTGAAAATACCCTTCAGGGCCTGACTGTCTAAACGTAAGGTAGAATCCATTTGCTTTAGTGACCTTATCGTATAAAAAGATAGTGTGGTCAGAGCAGGCTGAACACAACGACACAGACAGATACAGACACAGACACAGACACACACATATATATATATATATATATATATATATATATATATATATATATATATATATATATATATATATATATATATATATATATATATATATATGAGTGTTTATAAGAGTGCATTATTCAATTATTATGTTTAGCCACATATATTAAGTACATTGTTTCTAACTTAAAGATAAAAGACTTAGCATATTTTATCGTAAAATTCATCTCAAACTCTAGCGTAAAATTTAGAGCAGCTTAAATATTCCTTAATATTCTTTAGAAAATATTGTGTATATAATTTAAATTCTTTTAACGACATCTTTCGTTAGGTTAAGTGTTGTTAACTTCCAATAGACATCTTACCGTACTGGCAGTATTTGCCGAACCAGCCATTATAACATTTTACTCCAGGCCTACAATGTCCATCTTCATGGCAGTGATCATCCTCGCAGTTACACTGGTACTGTTTTCTTGAACCAAACCATGTATGGTCTTCAAAAAATGTGATAATTTCAAAAATGTTGAGGCTATTATGAATAATTATTATGTGATTTTTTGTTATTATTATTGTCAATTGATAAGAAAAATATGTGTAGAAACTCACGGAAATGGTAACAAAAGTTTAAAATTTATTTTTCTAAATTTTAAAATTATGTATTTTATCATTTTTGCATTTTAATAATACTTAAATTTAACTACATTGGTAATTAAGTTTTAAACCAATTTATATCGTACTTCCTATCGATTCCTTTTCACACCGACCCGTCTCCCGATGGCAAGGGTTAGCACAGTCCTCGTCACATTTGTTCTGACAATCCAAACCCCAATAACCAGCACTACACTCTAGATGTATAGAAAAAATGTTTATTATTAATTAAAATTAATTGAGAGTTTAGACAATGCAGGAAGTTCCAAAGTACGTAGTCCTGAATTGACTTGTAATGGACTTACGTACTCCAATACCTTTCACCACTCAAGAGACAGAGAAAAAAAATTATTGTTACACCGTTGATAAATGCGTCGGTACGATAGTCCAACACTTAATGCGACACGGAGGATGGCAGAGAGTATTGGAAGCATTTGATAAACATCAGGGATTTTCGGGGGAGTTTAGGTAATGTAGGAAGTTGCTGATCAATGACATTCGGTTTTTTTTTTACTTTCTCGTTTACAGAATACAGATGAAGTATGATAATCGTGTAAAAAATCACATGAAATTTTGACAGTTTTCACCCTTTTACTTCTCAGTACTTCATCTTATACAGAGTATAGGGTACTTATTTTAATCGGGCAAAAATTATAAATCAAGATATATCAAACATACGGCGTTTTACGCGTAATCGAGTCGGAAAAACTGTGCTAGGCTATTCTCTCCGTGTGTGTGTATGAATATGTGTATGAGTGTATGAGTGTCCGTGAACACGATAGCTTGAGTAACGTTACAGTTAGGCTGATGAAATGTATATATAAGTATTATATCACATTAGTTGTTCTGTACCAACTTTTCAGCGAATTCCAATAACCGGAAGTGGAAATTATTACTATTACCATTTTCGCATTGACCTGTCTCTTTATGACACGATCCACTGCACGATTCACATTTCTTACAATCCAGATCCCAAAATCCATGATCACAGTCTGAAATAATGCATGATAACATTATAAATATATATATATATATATATATATATATTAATATATATATATATATATATATATATATATATATATATATATATATATATATATATAAGTATTTTAATTGTAATATAATAAGTGTTTAATTAAAGACACTACAATTCTTCATAAAATGTATTCTACATTTTCCATGCAAAGTAAAGAGAAAAAACGAAAAAAAAGTTCAGTTTCCCATAAATATGTGAGATCTTAAATTGATCGACAGATTATCAACATCTATGGTTGAAAACATTGAAGCGAAAACTTTAGTTAATTAGCAAAATGTTTTAAAAGATATATAGATTCCTCTTTAGACCTAGCAATCCATACGCTAGATAAAATATTGGTCAAATGTTTTTTGATCTCGGCATATAAAGGGATAATATGTTCAGCACTATGCTTAGCCATCTTTACTCTCTTTTACGTGAGCTAGGTACCCATCAGAGCTGGATGGACTCAGGGACGTTCCACTGACTAGAACCCGTATTAGCAGTATAGCGCTCTACCGCTAACCACGCCGTCCGATAGTAAATACTTACAATTGTAATATCTCCTATTTATTGAATAATATCATCCTTAAGGTAAGTTTTATCTTAATGAGAATCAATGATCTAATTTATATTTTCATTATATAAACAATAAACATTACTTAAAGTTGTCATAATAGTCAACATGATAATTGATATAGAGTTCAGATGTTTTTGGAACGCCGAAGTGACGTTGAAGAAGATAAGAATGCCGTCACTTCCAAATTAAATTTTGTGGGATCAACGACTTTCTACGGAAACGAATCCAGATTTTTGCGGCTATGCAGTTTTGCGTTATAGCAACCGGCCATGATGTCTTAAGATATGGCATATAATAAATATAAACAGTAATTCTGCTTTGTGTCGTAGTAATTATATTACTTTAAAACCTTAGTAAAGCACATTGAAATACATTTAAAAGATAATTCATTGCATGTAATTTGAATTCAATGAATGATTGTAGCATGAATCATGCACTAATACCAAAATACGTACGGAAAATTCTTACCTCCATACACCTCTATTTCACAAATACTAATCATGGGTACTTTATCAAAGTCTAACTGAGTTTTAAGACTATCGATCCTAATTTTTTCAATATGTTCTAAGTTTCTAACTTCAATGTTGTAGATTGCTTGTACTTCGGCTGACTGCTGATGCTGATGTGTCAGTGTTTGTTGTGAATCAAAAATTTTTAAAGCAAAGTCCTTTAGTCGTAGCCCAATATCAGTTCGGGTATTTGGTTCTGAAACATAAATAAAATATGAAATATAAAATTTAGTTTCATGTCTAGAAAGCAGGTGCGCTACTGCCATTCCGTCAGACCCCGGGGATAGATGGTGGTGTGGCCAGGCCGTTTATGTGCCCGAATCTGACTGAAAACAACAAATAATTTTTCATCTTGAAAGACGGGTTTTTTGTTTTTAAAAAAAAAAAACAGATGTAATACATCAATGACTGTTCTACATCAACTAGCACATTTATCTTTAAATAGTCTAATAGTGGCGCCTATAAAGTTTGTTTAAATAGTTATTACTAAGTGTAAGGGTCGGTGAATTGAGATGACAGAAATATCCAACACACGTTCACGTTCAAAATACAATGTTCTTTATTAAAATTTATAATCAACTTCCTACCTAACCTAACTTTTCTATTCTTTACAGTATACTGCTCATACTATATGCTATCTACTATATGCTATCTACTATTAACTCTACTGACTACGCACTCCCATGACCAATCCTAACACTATCTAACTGTTACCTAGTTCTACATTAGCACGTCTGCTCCATAATACAACCTAACACCTTCTGCTCTCTTCACTAGCTACCTATCTACGGCCGCGAAACATACTACTGGCCCACGCCTCTGTGGTCAGCTGACCATCCCACGTGACCGGTCAGCTCCTGTACGTCCATTGGTCTCCACCCAACTATCTATAGTCTGTTTCTCTATTTACTTGACCTCTCCGACGCAACCTTGCGTCATCACACTAAGCAAATTGAAGAGCAATTTCTTCCCATCATTATTATTAAAACAAACAAGGAAAAAAATATATCAAACATCCGGTTTAAATACTTTTTACAGCCACCCACATCTAAAGTTACTCTTTACACCATATTCAGGGGGTATAAATGAGATAAAGACGAATTAATTTAATTATAATTATCATTAATTTTTTTTTTCAAAACCCACGTTTTCTGATTGAACTAAAAAGGAGAAAATAAATGCTATACATCACAATAATGCAAGCGATCACTCTACTATAAGCGATCGCAAACTGCGTGCGCATTATGACAAAAAATGAAAAACGTTGGGCGCAGAAGTAAAAGTTTTTTATCGGTCATTGTTAATATAAGATCTAAAAGTTATATTACTATTGATTAGATAATACTATTGAGTTTTATTAGGGAGCTTGTAGAGAGTTAACAGTATTAGAAACTGTAAGAAAATAACGGCGCCCCACGTTTTTCATTTTTTGTCATAATGCGCACGCAGTTTGCGATCGCTTATAATTGAGTGATAGCTTGCATTATTGTGATGTGTAGCATTCATTTTCCACTTTTTAGTTCAATCAGAAAACGTGGTTTTTTTTTTTTTTTTAAATTTAATGATAATTATTTTCTACTTTTTAGTCTTTGTCTGTTTGTTTGCATTCAAATCTTGCTATTGTGACCTACTTAGGTCCAGTAATGTTTTATTTTGACATTGTGTTAATACCATATATTGATTGATGGTGCAACTACCGGGTTTTTTCCACTGTCTTAGTAAGAGTGTCTAAGACTTAGAAATTTTCCATCAAAATCTGATTGATTGATTCAGACCAGATGACCACACCAACCAATGGCCACATGAGTTGAGGGTAACCTCCCCTGTCGCCTAAGTCTTTAACTAGATCGCCCACAGGCGACACGAGGCAGTCCACCTTGATCAAGCAGTCCATCTTGACCAGGCCGTCCATTTTGTCCGGCAGTAGATTCTGACCATTTGAACGTGAGAGAGCTTAAGTCCTGAGTGTGCTATGTATTCCTAAGTTGTTAAAGTGTTCTAATATTATATTACTTGTCGCCAAGTGATTCTTGATGCTATAGCAGTGTTATGTGACCTGTGGCTATTTTTATACAGTGTTAGAATCTGTGATAGTATTTTTTCTTACGCTTTGTAAGTTGGGTTTTGTTATTTTCTAAACTAAATATTTTATCTTGTTTAACCTTGTGATCTGCCACAACTGTGTTCGCTTATTAAAGGTTGTATGCAGATTGAATGAGTTGTTAACTTCAATAGTTTCACTAGTTTTCCCTAGACATCGAAATCGAGCCCTAGTGTGTTGTTGAGTTAATGTCCATTCATTTAGGCTATAAGTCATTTGCATATAACCCCAAGAAAGAATCCGGGGGCGTTCACCATCTATCTGGCTGGTAGATAGGTGTCCGTTACAAAGTGGGGTCTCGCCGGCATTTAATCTGTCGTTCTAGTTGTTGGTTGTATCAGTTAAACACTAAGTTTAGTTTGATTTAGTTGTTTTTCTATCCAGTGGCGCCGTGTTATTACAACGCGCGCAAGGCTAGAGGTATCTAGGTCAAAAGCCAGACGTGTCACGATAGGAGGTCAAGCTCATAACACAGCGTTGGGCCGTGTTAATTTAGAGAATCTAGGCTTGTTGTGATTTTGAAGTTAGTGAAATGGAATCCTTTTTGTCTAATCCCACTGTTGAGGAGGTAGAGAAGTTGAGTAGAAAAGTTTTGATTAGTGTTGTTAAGGAATTGAAATTGGATTATTCTGTTACGCAGAAATCAGAGGTGTTGAGAGATAAAATTGTTGTTCATTTTTTTAATGAAGGTGTATTTGATGAGAGTTTGTTGGCTGGGGTGTTACTCCGTATGGAGAAAGTTGCTTTAGAGAAGGCTTTAAAAGAACAGGAGTTAGAGGTTAAAATTGCTTTAGATAAGAGGAGGTTGGAATTAGAATTTGGTAAAGTTAGTGATGTCACTTCTCTGGTAGATCCAAAAAAGTTGTCGGTGGGGCAAGTAATTGCCAAATTTGGGAAATTAGTTCCTAAATTTGATGAAACAGATTTGATCGTTTTCTTTAACTCATTTGAGAGTTTAGCGAAGACATGTGAATGGCCCGAAACTTCCATTACTGCTTTATTGAGTACGGTCCTTACAGGGAAAGCTGCAAAAACATACCAGGCACTCTCTCACGACGTTCAAAATAACTATAGTTTGGTCAAGACTGCCATTTTGAAGGCCTACGAACTGACGCCCGAGGCCTATCGGATAAAATTCCGAGCACTCCGCAAGTTACCCACTCAATCATATGTGGAATTTCTCTTTGAAAAAGAGAAAATTTTCTCAAGGTGGCTACACTCTGAGGAAGTTTCTGAGTTTGAGAAGCTCAGATCACTTATCCTAAGGGAAGAATTCCTAAAGTCCCTGCCTGAAGACATACGACTACACATACTGGATAACAAGATAATTGACATCCAGAAGGCTGCTGAGTCGGCTGACACATATATGTTGGTGCATAAGAAACCACCAGTGTCAGGAAACCGCCTCAACCCCGTGCTTCCCCTTTTTGGCAGCAATCCTCCTGTTGGCCCACACTTGAAGGCATCACAGTCCAGAGAGAGGCCAAGATCAACTCTCAATCGTCGAGCAGTTTGCCAGTTCTGCAAAAGACCTGGTCACCATGTCAAGGACTGCTACAAACGTCTTCAATTTAACAGAGAGGCGGTGCGTACTTCTGCGCACTATGCTCTATCCCCTCAAGCAGCCAGTTCAAATATGAACTCTAGAATTCCAAGGGACGCTAACCCTAAGTGTCCGCAAGAAGGCAGTCAAATCTCCACACATTATGTGCAGTCACATTTTGATTGTTCACGCCACCATCCAGTTTCTTCCGAGTCTACCGATCTCGAGGGATCGAGAAAGGTTGACTTTTCATCTTTCATTACAGAAGCTATCATTAGCAAACCAGGTGATCCGTTGTCTCAGCGGAATATCACCGTCCTAAGAGACACAGGAGCGTCACAGTCACTTCTTTTGAAAAGTTCAATGATCATTACACCGGAGACGAATACCGGAAATGTTTCCATTATCCAGGGAGTGGGGACAAAATCTACTGTAGTCCCTCTACACAAGTTTGCCCTGAAACATCATCTCGTCGAAGGCGAAGTCATTTTAGGTGTAATAGATAGTATTCCTGTCCCAGGAGTACACCTACTTCTAGGGAATGACCTTGCGGGAAGCAAAGTATACCCCTGTACGGTTCAGAACCCTTTGTCAACAGTTCCAGATAATGATAATGAACTGTATCCTGCATGTGTGGTGACAAGAAGCCAGACCAAACAATTGGCTGACACAACGTCTGAACCACACCTATCATCATCGTCAAGAAATTCGACTCCCAAACTGGAGTCTATGCTTCCAGAGAACACAAGCCTGGGCTTACCCCTGAGGATATCTCAGGAAGACATCATTAAAGCTCAACAAGTCGACGCGGAACTCAAAGCAATGGTCGAAAAGTCACTCTCATCTGACGATGGGGAGTATTTCTCCGAGAACGGCCTCTTCTTTCGTCGCTCTGTACCAGTGGATGCCTCACCTGCCGAACCATGGTTGGGTAAAAACCAGCTGTGGGTCCCTCCACCTTATCGGCATGAAATACTGAAACTGGCACATGACCATCCAATGTCAGCGCACCCAGGAGTCACTAAAACAGTGGCGAAGATCAAAGAACTGTTCTTTTGGCCCAAAATGAGAAATGATGTGTCGCGTTACTGCAAAAGTTGCACGAACTGTCAGAAAATTCCTAAGGTCCCTTTGAGTCCGATTCCTGTATTAGAAGAACAGTTTTCTAAAATCGTCATGGACTGTGTAGGTCCCTTGCCTAAAACCAAGGCGGGCAACGAGTACCTACTTACCTTTATGTGTTCAAGTACCCGTTTTCCCGAGGCGTTCCCCTTACGGAACATTAAGGCAAAGACTGTAGTCAGAGCCATGACCCGGTTCTTCACTACCTTTGGATTACCTAGAATCGTTCAAACAGATCAAGGCAGCAACTTCACCAGTCACCATTTTCAGGAAGCGCTCGCCAAGCTAGGCGTTACCCACATCACCAGCTCAGCCTACCACCCTCAGTCTCAAGGCGTACTTGAGAGGTTCCACCAGACCCTCAAAACCATGCTAAGAACATTCGCTAAAAGTAACACCCAATGGGATGAGTCTGTTCCATGGATTATTT